GTGTTGTGTTGATGAAAAGGGGATTTGGGAGGTCTTTTTTAAGGGAAAATTCCGAAAAAGCGGGAACATGAAAATTTTGTGTGTTTTCTCGAGATATTTAAATTAGCGAATCCAGACCGTAGATTGAAAGGGATTATCGACGGCTATACGAGCTTTGAAGTCCAGATCCGCGTCACAGCAAAAGATGATGTAGGCCGTTCATTGAATACTAAGAGAGGAGAGACACGGATTGCAATCGTACGGCAGACGAGACGTTTCTATGTAGGGCCGGTGGACTTCATTTATATTGGGCCACGTTTTCAGAGTTGAAAAAAAGGAAAAGAAGGATTTCTAGGCCCATTACCGATCCGATTGGAATTTATTTTATTTTTTTCCTAAATTTTGCCGTGTCGTAGTGGTTTAGTCATATCAAAATGCACCATAGTAAATGTTGAGCAAGACTTTAATCTCGAGATATGGATAGAAAGTTAAGAAACATCTTGAGAAAAGGGCAAGAAATTTCATGCTCTTGGTCCCATGAGGCTATTAAGTCACACTACATAGTAAAGAGGACGGCCAGCTCTAGTTCCTTTTGGGTTCCGTTTTCTTCTCTTAATTTCTGGGTAGAAGAAGAGGAAAGGCTCACGGATAGAAGAGGGAATCCCTAAGCTTTAGGTAACAATTTTCCTCCTTTGTTCTTTCTTTTTGATCATTATGTAATTTCAGTACAATTATTGAAATGAAACGTTGATTTTTGTTCTAGTTATAGGGCTGTTCGGATAGAGGATTAACTTTTCTGGGAACACAGAAAGTAGTGTTCGAAAAGTTAATAAGCACTACATAATAAAGTTAATAAATACTGTGCAATACGTTGATAATTTTCTGGGATATTTCATCTCTTTCCTAACAATTTCTCTTAATTTTTGTGGAGGAAAAAGTTAGTAAGAAAGATGTCAAGTGGATCTTAAAAAGTAAAGGTAGGAAAAATACAGGGGAATGTGTGGGAAGAAAAATTAAAGTTTATATGGGTTGGAACTGGGTAGACCTTCATCGGAAAACTGCATTTTGCCCGGCTGGAATCTGGAATTCCACCGGTTTCTGGCTTACTCTCCCTTATTTATTGACTTTATTTTTGGGTTGCTGGAAAAAAAAAAAAAGGGATTAAAATGAAATGGGCCAGACTCCCTTAAAGCCCAACAGCCTAGCAAGTCCGTTGGCATCTTGACCCAAAACTTTTAATTTTCACACACATACCTGCGCATGTTTGATTCATTCATTTAATGCCGTGAACTTAAAAGAATGTTTTATAAGTTGAAATAATTTTTCAAATGTCAAAGCATGCAACTGTATTTATACCGAAGATTGAAAGGTATGTGTATGCCCCATCACTCCTAATTATATTCTTGGACTTCAAT